TTCTGTTATAAAATAGTTTTGGATTTGTTACAGCGTCTTGTTTGATTAGAACCCGTCGAGAGTAGATTTTTTTTTCTTTTTTTGATGCAGATACTTAAAGTGTTACAGACTACAGAGTTAGGATCCTCAGATTGCAGGTATTGCTTATGCTTGTAACAATTGTCATTCAAAATTCTAGACTTTTAGACTGAGGGTGACGTAATCATAATCTTCTTCGAAATGAATTCATGATTTTTGTGCATTTATTGTTTCATAGTATCGTTTATCCTGGACAAACAACCATTGGTTGTTGAATTTTTAAACATTTACAATAAGGTAACACATATATTGGGATGATGAGAATTCACTTTTTTCTTTTTGAATTGTAAAGTTAAGAAAATGTTTCTGAATTTGAAAGAGTTTACTGCCTGCTCAAAAAATTGTACCGTTAATGCCTTTATAGGTTTGAGGAAATGACTCACTGAACAGTTGTTGAAAATTGCTGGCACGTGGGTTGCAGTTAAGTAACACTGTTCACGGCTTCTCAGTAACATTTCTTTAGAAATGTAAATCATGTTTTTAAACTTTATTTGTCTGTGAGTGTAGTTGGATGATGAAAATATGCACGAGCAGAAAAAGTAGTGCCATTTTTTGTGGCTAAACAGGTGGATGTAAAATGATTTATTACTCGACTGAAAACACTGGTTTTTCAATAAAACTTACTTTTTCAGAAGTGTAGTTGTCGGAGAACGAGGAGAAACTTATTTTTGCTTCATTTAGCACAACTGGACCCGGATTGATAACGGCACTTATTCTAAAGGCAACGGAAACACTTCAAATTTACACTTCCTTGCTGTACCGTTATTACTGCCTGTTTTTTTCATACTACACTTAGCACTTCTTTTAGATTTAGACAACTCTGCTTCTTAACTTTTTTGACTGACAGTTTTTACTGTTTAATTTCGATAATACACACTGTGCTTTTTCCCATGGATAGCAGGGGAACTGCAATCCGTGAAGTTGGCATTCCCTGTGTGGTGGAACAGTGGTATTCAAAGCGCTGGTAAAACCTCAGTCAATCCAAAAAAAAAAAAAAAAGTTGTTTGTCTTCTGTTTTAGGTTAATACTATCAGCACGCTGATGTCACTGCTTTCTACCTTTTATCTGCAAAAAAAATTTTGTTTGTTTTTTGCTTTTGACAGTATTTTTTAAACTGCAATACTATGAAAAGTAATTTTTGCTGGAACCAACTTCACTATTCCGTTGGGTGAACCGGAAAACTCAAGTATTTTTTACAGTAGCGGTGCTAGTTTTTTCACGCCTCCAATGAAGAAATTAATCCGTTGATAAGAAATGATTATATTTGTAATAGGCCTATTACATTCCTTAATAACAGTATATTTACAGTTATCCTCACCTACTCGACAGTTTTTTTTGACATAAAGTAGTACTAAATGAAGAAAATAAGTCAAAATTTTTCTCATTATTAAGGGGAGCAAATTGAAGTAAGGCGAAGTTTTTGTTTTCCCTAAATTAGAATTTTGTATACGTAAAAGTTAGCCAAATTCATATTTTTAATATTCATATGTATACTGTTCTGCTCATCAGAAATGTATGCGGTCCAAAACTGAACAAGTATTAAAAACAGCAATTCCTTCAGTTTTGCGTTGGAGCGTCATGTATTTGTCTCAGACATTGCAAATAAAACCACTTTAACCCTAACGGTACCAATAATTTGCTGGGCAGCATTTGACAAAAACACACATAATCTCTCTTTATAGACTTGTTAATGATACACATCTTACATAAACATCGTGGAGACCGATCAAAACTTGAAACTCGACGGAGGTGTTAACTGAGCAAACGTGAGAGGCTGAAAATAACTTCTTTAATTCGATTCGAGCATTTTTTTGACTCATGCAATTATGTTACATAACAACCAACATATACTCGAAATTTTTGTCAGAATTTTCAGCCTACTTTTAGAGATGGACTGGTAGTCGTTAAAGGTACCAACTGTGGTTGGAAGGGAACGTATGTGGAAAAAGTAGTGCTTGGATTCCAGGCTAAAAAAATAAGTTGTCAGTGCGCTAAAAGTACAGTTCAAACTTTTATAGCTGTTTTGTAATCAAAATCCTGAGGGTTAAATTTCTCTAAGTTTTTTTTTTTTT